GACAAAAGAAAGTAAGTGACCCATCAAGGTCATTTCATAAAAGGAGACGGTTAGTTAGACGATAACGCTAATGAACCGAAGACTCCCGCTCCGTGTTGCCATAGAGCTTCTATCAAGCAGAGTTGACCAACTCTGTCTATTCATTCGCCAAAATGGACTAGAGGCCCCGCCTATGCCGCAAGAAAGGGACACGGCTTTGGCCAAAGTCCTTGATGTTCTTGGCTTGACTGAAGTTCATTCAGCTGCAGGAGACAATCAAACTAACAGCAAATCCTCCAATCTCAATCCCGCATCTGCAGTCGATGATCCGCTTTCTGATGTTCCAAACTCTTTACCATCCTCCGCTCCTGGTGTGACAAATAATTTCAACAGCACTTGGGCTCAGGCATCCCCGGACAACACATCGCCAAATTCTCAGTCGGGTCTCACAATGCTTTCAGACCCTGATTCTACATCAGCACTGCCCATGATCGATACTGAAAATATGGATATTCCAATCACAGAGCAGCAACCACCGATGGATGAGCACTCGGATACTTCATTGGCCAACTGGGACTGGACCTTGGACTTTGGAACATACATTACGCCATCATCTCCAGACATTCAAGATCAAAGCATAGAATCAATGCAGCTGCCAGTGGAGCAATCAGAGAGGCTACCTGAGCCCTTTGAGCCTGCCATCGTTCAAAGCTCACCTAGCATCGACAGTGATACTGGGAGCACAGAAGAAATTGAAGATCTTATCGACGAGCTTTCTGATCGGATGGGCACATTGCGTTTCGGTCCTGGAGGAAAAGCTCGCTTCTACGGCCCAACATCGACCTTCAACCTTGCCGATGCTCCGGTATCTATCAACACTCAGACACAGCGTGCGGTTGATTATCTCGACGATATAGACTGGGACAGACAAGTCCCATTATCTCTCGAGGAGCATCTTCTTACTCTCTATTTTACCTGGCAAGATCCATCATTCCACGTTGTCGACCGCGAACTGTTCGAGAAAGGAAAGACGGCCTGGTATGGGAAAGAAGAGACCCCGTTCTATTCCGAGGCACTCTGCTATGCAATGTGAGTCTATATGTCTATTTCAATTTGGCGAATTGACACATGAAATAACATTTACAAACAGGTGTTCTCTCGGCGCTGCATTTGAAACTCGTTACCATCCATCCTTTGTGACGTTCCCAAAATCTCTCGGTGAATTCTTTGGGGACCGCGCAAAAGAACTCCTTGAGATTGAACTCGACTCTCCGTGTGTGGCAACAGTCCAAGCGCTAGTCATCTTAAGTAGCCATGAAATTGGCGTGGGCTCAGACACACGCGGATGGCTCTACAGTGGTAAGTTCTGTCGAAAATTCCTGATTTCCTAAGCTTACAATTCTAGGGATGGCCCTTCGACTTGCTTTCGATCTTGCCTTGCATATTGATCTTTCTTCCTATGTTGCTCGTGGGTCTGTTACAGCTGCCGATGCTGAGCTGCGTCGAACCGTCTTCTGGGCTGCGTATATGGTCGATCAGTGAGTTCCTACGTTTCTTTTGTGTGCGCTCAGGATATCTCTAATCTGTTGAAATTCCAGTCTTGTTGGCTTCTATCTTGGTAGACCTTTTTACACCAACATGGAGGATGTTACAGTCAAAAAGCCCAATGATGGCGTCGACTATCGAGAACCTTGCAAATGGACGCCATACGCGTCTCCCATTCCGTTTGACGATAATTCGGAATTATTTGACTGTATAGGTGCCGTCAGTCAACAGGAAGTCTCACTATGTGAGCTTATGGCACCCTGCGGCTACTTTCTGTAAGGTCCCGTCCCCGTTTGCTCGTTTGCCTTTGTTCCTTCGTTGGGCCCAAGTGAGTTGCTTCGGCTAACCTTCACCTCGAAAAAGTTATGGGACATCAGGTATCCCAAGAGCCGTGCTTCAACAGCTCAATGCAAATAATGTTGCCAAGCTTCTCAATTGGAAAGCTCAGTTGCCCTCATTTTTACAAATAAACCTCAACGATCACACTTCTCCTTATCTTCCGCATGTGTTGCTACTTCAGTGAGTCGCTATTATACTTCCTTTCAGGAATATTCATAGAAGATATCTGCTAACTCATCCAAAGCATGCAATATTACCAGAATCTCATTTACACCCATCGACCCTGGATGTCAAAAGGCTACCTTCAACCACAACCCCCGAAAGGACCTGGCTCCACTCACGCTCGGGAGATGTGCATTAATTCTGCCATCTCCATTGCCAAGATCCTTGTATTATACGAGACCAGATATACTCTCCGCCGCATAAATATCAAAGCAGTATCAATCACCTCCTCCGCCGTGCTCCTCCTTCTCTTCGCCGCCGTCTCCCAATACCAAACCGAAGAAAAAGAGAATATCATCGCTCATCTGAGTACCTGTTTCAGAGCCCTCGATGAGTTCTCTCTATCCTGGCAGAGTGCCAATCGCGCTAAAGACCTCCTGGTAAGACTACAGCACAAATGGGAGGTTCGGACCCGTGCTACCAAGCCGGACCGTGGACCGGACGGAGCTGGTTATCCCCCAAGAAAGAGATCACGGATGCTTAATGAATCTGAGTCGATAAACCCAAATGAGTTAAGGCTTCACAACGCACAGCCTGAGACGCGTGATTTCCAACTGGAGTCGGGGTTGGGCTGGATGCTCATGCTCAGCGGTCAGCTTCCGTCGGATGGGGATGAGGATCTCTATTCTTTCGTTGCAAATACAAGTATTCCAGAATCTGAATATGAGACTATATAGGCATGGCGATCTTAGATCTATTTCAAATAGAATGCCAAATCCGCATCATCTTCTCTCTCCCACTCTAGCTCCCCGTTTCCAAGATATGAGAACGGATCCGAGGTGTTGTTGTGTCTGATATCAAAGTCTTCACCCCGAATATCCTCAATAGCCTCTGTTATCAAGTCAGTATAATATTTCTACTATCTCAGTTGTCAAACTTGCCTTTATAATGCAATACACTACCTGGATACATCGCCGTGACAGCTTCTCCGTTGTTATACCAAGCATGACAACCCTTGCTCCAGACAGTGCGTCTTAGGCCTGCTTGTGCACGACGGTTGTAGTTCCGAATAGCGGAATCGTTTACTGCGACGGACCTTCTCAGATGTCAGTTAGTAGTCCATGTATCTCATCTAAAAATACTCACTTGATATCCTCCCGGGCCATCTTCTTCACCCATTTCAACATGTAATCAGCAGTCCAACCGATCATCTGGGGCACACTACCATGGCCAATGGGACAGTTGGGTCCATTGAATATGAAGTAGTTAGGCACTCCACCGGCGCAAACAGAGAAGTATGCCTCGGGTACCTTCTTCCACTCCACATCCAGTCGTCGACCATCTCGACCAACCAGCTCCCACGTGGGAATGAAGGTGGTATCAAATCCAGTCGCACAAACAATCAAGTCAAACTCCCCTTCACCCGCTGCTGTGCGAATACCAGTTTTGGTAATCTCCTCAATGCCTTCAAAGCACCATTCCGCATTTGGCTGCTGCATCGATTCGAGATATCCATCGCCAGGGCTTAGTCTGCGACATCCGATTTCGTATTTCGGGATAAGTTTGTCAATCAGGTGGGGATTTTGACTGAGACGCTGGCGCATAAGCCCCGAAATCGCATCAAATAGCCCTTGATTGTGCTCCGAGCCAGATAACATCAGTCGGTAAACGGTGTTGACACTTTCATAATTAGTCTGATTCAAATAAAAAGCATTGAGCAACCTACGAGCAGTCAACCTTTTTCCTGTACTCCAGGAATGCTTTTGGGTCATCTCGGAACATCGCTTTCTCTTCCTCGCTATATTCAAAGTTTGTTCCCATTCCATCCCTCGTGACGGCCGGGCAGAGATTGACCGACACCCAGGTCGGTTGACGAATGTAATTGACAATTTTTGCGGCCTTGGGCTGAAGCGCAGGAACAACTTGAAGAGCAGATGAGCCATTTCCAATGACTGCGACCTTCTTGTCAGTCCAGTCGTACGTTTTGTCCCAACCAGCCGTGTGAACCAGCTTGCCAGCGAACTGGTCCAAACCGGCGATGTCCGGCATCTTCCACTGGTTAAGAATACCAGAGCCATCGATTAGAATGTCCGCTTCATCTTGGATAGACTTGTCATTTTGTTTGAGCTCAAGTGCCCATTTGCCTCGTTCCTCATTCCAAATAGACTTGACGAGCTTGGTATCAAACACGATCGGATCTTTCAACCCGTACTTTTCTACCGTGTCGATAATGTATCTTTCTATCTCGGCACCTCCAACATAGCATTTGGACCAGTTTGGGTTTGGCTCGAATGGAAAGACATAGCTGTGGGCGGGAACGTCACATCCAACACCGGGATAGACATTCTCGAGCCATGCACCCCCAACCTCGGAGTTCTTTTCGTAGATTGCAAAATCCACAAACTCAAGCGGCTGCTCATGTTTCAGTTTATGGGAGAGGATCAAGCCAGAGAACCCCGCCCCTATGCAGACAACTCGAAGCTTACGCTCCTTGAATGCATATTGACCAGGGTCTACATTGATAGTCTCATTGAAAAGGGATTCGTTGGACGGCATGGTCGGTTTTGCTAGTTGATTGTTTGTTTGCTTTTTGATTTTTTTTTTGGCCCTGTCTGTTTCTTTTTCCCCTGCTCTCGGAAAACGGAAGACTCCGGGCCCGTCTCCAAACTCAGGGGTTGTCTCCATAGCTTTAGCCTTGACATGGTGGTGCTAAGTAAGTAGCGTTGACCGGCGTTTGAATTAGATCCGGAATCCTTCTCGGGTAGGACTAGGGCGATGTTATACGTGGAGATCTTGGATGCGGCCCCATCGGGGGCGAGGCGAGCGTTGTGGAGCTCCGATATGGTCTGGGGGCCGTTCTTGGCCTTGATGTTTTAAAAACCTTGAAGGAACTTTACAATGGCCTTGTTGAAATCAAAGATACTTCGTACCTCCGATATTCATCTTCGAATGTGAGGTTCCCCTTTGTTTCTTTAATGTCGCTCAGCCCGTTTGGAGAACCTCCACCCGGGACAGATCTATCCGCCGATCATGGCGCACGGAACAATGCCGCTGTTATCACAACCTTTGTCCTGGCAACAATAGCTGTCGGGCTTCGGTTTTATACAAGATATCGAGTACAGTCTGTGCAGATAGCTGCGGATGATTGGATGATCGTGGGTGCCTTTGTATGTTGTCTCAAAAAACGATTTTGTCTACTTCTGTTTCTAACAGATCTACAGCTGGCCGTAACTGCAAGTCTCATTTTGACGGTGGTTGGTATGTATAAATCCTTTGACGGTACAAATTGACCTCAAGTCTAACTTGTATAACAGGTGGATATCACGGTCTCGGAAAGCATGTGTGGATTGTCCCTATCGCCGAAGTCGTGGAAACGATGCGCATTCTCTTCGTCTACGTCCTACTCTACGTTGTCACCGTTCCACTCATAAAATTCTCCATTATTCTCTTCTACCGGCGCATCTTCGGCATGACATGTACAATGTGGTTCTGCGTGTTTCTGACGGTCGGATATTTCATCTCTTGCATAGTTGCCTTTCTGGTTTGCTGCAGGCCCGTGTCGTATTACTGGACACAATATACAGAACCCAGTGGAGGAAAATGTGTCTACGACCTCTACCCATTCTATATCGGCAATGCTGCGGCGAATGTGACCACAGATGGGATCATTCTGTTGGTTCCAATCCCCCTTGTGTGGAAGCTACAGATGCGAAAAACACAGAAAGTCTTGCTATGCGGCATTTTTTTGCTTGGAGGATTGTATGTCGCCCCCAATCCAAGTGTATTTGACTCAAGCTTATATATCCCAGTGTCTGTGTTGCAAGCATTATCCGAATTTATTACATGACCTTCCTCAAAAACTCCCCCGATGTCACTTGGATCATGGGCGATGTCTTCATCTGGTCCAGCGTCGAGCCCTCCATCGGCATCGTATGTGCCTGTCTTCCAACATTATATCCGCTACTTCGTTCTTTTATTGCTCGCGTATTTGGCAGTAGTACAGGGAGATATGCTGAGGCATTAAGCAACCAGGAGTCAGCGACGAAAAAAGTCTTTGCTCGCAGACCAACGCCACTTGACTGGGATGAGTCCCTGTTGAGTACACATGACATACATGTCGAGATGAGCGGACTTAGGAGGGATCATGGCGATGATAGGAAGATTACGGTAGATACGGAGTTTCGAATAGCTGAAGAGAGCAGTCAATTGAAGTAGGATAAACCTTACCTGCACATGTATAGCAGTCTATTACCGCCAGTGTGCCGCTTCATATTTTTCCATAGTAAATATTGAATTTCTTGATACCCTTTTTCAGTAGTCTTTTCGGCGCCTTTTGACGCCTGTCGCTTTCAGAGCTCTATAGGTTCTTGATCCACTTTTGAAGTCATTTTGAAACAGAACGGATGGCCTCAGAGATTACCCGAGAAAGATAGACTATGACTCAAAGGAAATAAATTATGCGTAGCCTAGGGGAGCAGTTCAATATATAGAAGTAGGTCCACAGGTAATGATCCGACTGACAATGAGGCGGTCCAGTGCCAGAACAAGCGGTCGTCGACCCCGGACTTGCTGACTAATATATTTTCCCCTCCAGGGCTTTTCCGGGGTGACCTCGGGAGGAAGGGCGACATGTACCGTAATCATCCATCTTTTTTGAGAGCGCCGTGATGGTGTTGAAAAAATGTCCAATCTGTTCGCGGGTGTTCAAAAAAACCGAACATTATAAGAGACATGAACGGTCGCGTCAGTCACGTCGAAACCTTGCAAGAGCAGCAACCTAACAATCAAGAACAGACACCAAAGAACGCCCATATGAATGCAATGTCTGCCACAAGCGTTTCTCTCGAAGGTAAATTCCGCTGAAGGCACATGTGAATTGTAACAATATTCAGAATCCTATGTTCGAATCCCTAAATTTAATGAGCATATAGCGATGTCTTGAGCCGACACGCCAAGGGCCATAATCAAGCCAATGCGACAGCCGGTCCATCGGACGCGCCAAATCGACAGTCATCAGTAATTTCTGGCGCATCAATGATCCCCGGACCAGGCAATGGTTTTCTTAGTGCAGAAGCACAGATTCCACCTCTATCTACCACGTCGCGAGATGCATCAGCTGGGCTCCCATCATCACTAGATTACCTAGCCGACATCTCAGCCCACCATGGCCGCACCGAGCCAGATCTCGGCGTGATGATGATTAACGACCAGCAGCAATACATCGGGTGGAATACAGTCGCGCCAGCAGATCAGGTATCGCACCAAGCTGGCTTGGCCTTCCATCCTGGACCAAAAGACATGCTACAAATGTGGCTTGAACCTCGCACAGATTCAAAATCAAATGGCTCGCTAGATCTGATGCACGATAGCCATTTTCCTCTGATGGGTGACAATTTGATTCTTACTCCAGAGCAGGATCGACATTCAGTCGACCACGATAACATTCCCAATGAACGTTTCGCTAGAGTCCAGCAGTGCTGGTTAGCACCACCGAACACCGGGCGTCTTATCAACAGTTTATGGCGGGATATCGCCATGTCGCCCGTTGATAATATCTTCTCTGTTCAGTCATCACACCTTTCCGGCGAGCCAAGTGTCGTCCAAGGATCGCGGTGCGGATTTGATGAAGATTGCAGACAGCGCCTGCAGGCGGCTTTTGGATCGATGGCTGTTTCTGCACATATGCAATCTTCCGTAAATAGGATTATTGCTCCAGCCACGCCTACCTCGAGCTTGAATAATTCTGACTTCCCTCCTGCTGAGGTCTTGGATATGGCACTCGATTTATTTTTCCGTCTCTTTAATCCGCTCTTGCCGTTTGTGCATCAGCCGACCTTCTCAGCGAACAAGGCGCGACCATCTCTTTTATATGTTATGACGCTGGTTGGCATGACATTGCTTGGCACGAAAGGAACTACTGCGTTTGTGTCCAGAAATTTCTCAGTGGGTCAAATATTATCAAGCACCATACAGTCAACCTACTGACAGTCATTAGGGTGCTTTGGAAAAGGTGACTGCTGAATTTGCTCGATGTTCAATGGGACTTGAGGGCGCTTCCGGCACCATGTCATCATTTGCGACAGCTTTGCTCTTAATAAACCTGGCTGGTTTGACCGGGGTATGAATCTCTCAGTCCGAGTTTGCTCTAAAGATACTAATCGATATCATTCTACAGGAAAAAGTCCATCTAGAACAGTGTCAACCTCTTTATATCAACGTCATGTCTGTGAGTTTGAAGCGAACTTTCGTCTTTTCCTCTATAGCTGTGATTCTAATGACAACCACCGCAGGTCGCCCAAAGAAATGGGTTATTTTCAGCCACCGAAGGGCAGAGCCTTGACATGACTTTGTTCGAAACATTTTCCGATATTGACATGAGATGGAAAGCCTGGAGCAAGGTCGAATCAACCAAGAGGTATGCCAGAATTCCCGCCCATTCAACACATCACTAATAATCTCACCAAGAATAATTATTGGCCTACTGCTCCTGGACTCTTGGTACTCCTCATTCCTCTCAACGGGTCCAATCGCAGTCCCAGATCCGATCCAACTCATCCTCCCCTGCAGCGAATCTCTCTTCTCTGCCCACTCCTCCATCCAATGGACACACCTAATCCGCAGTGGCAAGCACATCCTTTCATCAACAATCCTCGCCCCATCCGAAAACATCAACGTGCCTACCCTAGAAGCCCCCGCAGACGACTTCTGTATACAAGCAGTACTAGCAGTAGTCCAGCTTCGCCAGTCAGAATCCTACCACCGCCTCCTCTCCAATAGAGCCAGCTACCCCTTTGCCCCATGCCACACCTACGCCATGGACGGCCGAGCCAGGTGCCTCCCCTCCCTCCAATCCCAACTCATCACAAACTATGGCGAAACCCTCGACCGCCTGAACCCCAACGCTCTCATTACATGGCACAACATGTGCATGACTCTCACAGCCGATGTCCAAATATTCGACCTCGCAGCCGGCCGCGCAGGTCCAGATGCTGCGCGCAAAGCCCTCAACGATATCCGCGAATGGTCGCAGACACCGGCAGCCCGACGCGCGTGTTTGCACGCAGCGCATATCTACAAAGTCATGACAAATCGCAAAGCCTCTGACCACCCCACGTTCCAATCTATGTTTTCGCTCTTCTCGGCTGGATTAGTGCTCGGTCTGTATACGTTCACGGCGTCGGAGTCTACGAGTTCCCCGTCTAGTTTTGGGTCTGTGGAGTTGATGGATGATGTTGACTGGAGATTGGTGGGGACCGAGGGGTTTACGAGTTTCATGGAGCCTAGGGGAAGTCAGACGTTCGCGCCGACGGATGATCCTGCTATTGATTTTATTCGAAATGGGGCTAATATCTACTTGCGTGGACTGCCGTTCCACAGTGGGTATCAGTCTGCGCGGAGAATATTGCTTGATTATGCTTCGCTTCTCAAGGACTCTGGGAAGTGGAGTGTCAAGCAGTTCTCGTATATTTTATACATAATGAGTGATGTTCTTATGGATGTTGAGTGATGACGTCTCGACTGCGATTGGCAAAAGCAATGTATTCTAGCCGTTTGGTTGTTGACTCTTTTTCGTTCGCTCGATATGGTTACATTAATTCTCTGATCGGCCGAAATAAACCCCAGCTAGCCAGGAGCATTATTCCCCATTGACTTTATTCCGAGCCCACCATGGCGAATCTCCCAGAATCCGCTTAGTATCCAACGTCTCCTTGCCAGCCATAATCTCCTCCCAATGCTCATCTGCAATCTCAGCCGCACGCCAGAGAATATGAACACGCGCGAGCTCGGCGTCCCCCACAACCGGTAAAGAGAGACAGCATTTCTGCTTGTGATGCTGAGGCATAGATGTAATAGTAGCTACTCCGGACCGACACTGCTCAGCCATAAGACGCATCATGCTCTCGCCGCTGTTGGGCTTAGTTCGTCCGCCGAATTTTGTGAAGTCGACTGTTACCCAGTGGACGAATTGCTTCGTGTCGATCTCGGGGATGTTGGTGCCATCCGGGTGAGAGAACATACCTAAGGGCATTTTGTTTAGATGGCTGTGGGTTTAGATAGTTTAGTTGATGGATATGTAGTGGTATAGTTGTGATGGGTTCACAATGGGATGGGGTTAGTTGATGGGATTTATGGTCAGTTAAATATTTGGCTGGTTCATTGTGTCGAGTCTTGGGAACAATTGCCTTTATTTTCTTTCATGTCTATATCTGCAGTTTTCCTTTGTATCTTTGTCCATATTTATCGTCTATCTTTTAAATGCCAAATGAAGATATTACACATACTAGTAGTCGGGCTGGTAAACCGGCTATATACTTCTATAGTTCCAGGGGTCAGATACTTCTGAGCTGGTCCGTTCTCGGGATCGCGTCATACCCGAGGCTATCTCCGAGACCGCGGGGGTGTTCTTTCCAAATTTCTTCGCAGATTGCTGGTCAACTGCTTCACGAGGTCTCGACATGTCTTCACGTGCTCTGATTAAGCATTTTAAGCTTAACAACAAGCTTACCACTCGCTGCTTTTCCACCACCCGACCCACCAATGCGGACTTCACCCATGCGGTACAGTGCACCTCCGAAATCGAAGACAGACCCAATGCTAATCCGAATGAAAGGTAATTGGCGCAGGTGTCGTCGGCCTCGCGACGGCACGCGAACTGGCAGCTCGCGAAGGCACTTCAACAATTCTACTAGAGCGACACGACGCACCAGGGACAGAGACGAGCAGTCGCAACTCCGAGGTATGCATACCCCATCATTTGGCAACAGACACTACACAACCCAAACTAACCCCTTACCAGGTAATCCACGCAGGCCTCTATTACCCAGCCAACTCCCTCAAAACCAACCTCTGCATCCGCGGCCGTAACCTCCTCTATGACCTCTGCGCGCGAAACAACATTCCCCACCTCAACACAAAGAAATGGATTGTAGCACAAACCCCCACGCAATGGGAAACATGTCTGAAAATACACGCGCACGCACAAGGACTCGGCGACGCGCCGACGCGGCTGGTGGGACGTGAGGAAGCGCAACAGCGCGAACCAGACGTCAAGGCGGACGCAGGCATTGTCGAGAGCGAGACGACCGGTATCGTGGACAGTCACTCTCTGATGACGTACCTGCAGGGCGACTTTGAGGAGCGTGGAGGCGATATTGCATTCAAGACGCGCGTAACGAACGTGGAAGCTATTGACGGTGGTCGCGGCGGGTATAAGATTACCGCTGTCTCGGATGAGGATGGCTCGGTCACTTCTATTACCGCTGAGACGCTGGTTAATAGTGCCGGCCATGGTGCTTGCGCTATTAGTAACATGCTCCTCCCGCAAGAGCGCCATTTTGTTCCGCATTATGCTAAGGGCACGTACTTCTCGTATGCGGCGTCTAGGCCGAAGACTTCGGTTTTGGTTTATCCGGCGACTTTGCCAGGGACTGGTGGACTTGGTACGCATCTGACGCTCGATATGGGTGGGCGTGTTCGTTTTGGGCCCGATGTTGAGTGGGTGGATAGTCCTGATGATTTGGTGCCGAGCGCTGCGCGTTTGGAGCAGGCGTTGCTGGAGATCAAGGCGTATCTGCCTGGTGTCGATGTTGATGCTATTGCGTTGGATTACTGTGGTATTCGTCCGAAATTAGGGAGGGGTGGTGCTGTCAATGAGGGTAAGGGGTTCCAGGACTTTATTATTCGGGAGGAAGAGGGCTTGCCTGGGTTTATCAATTTGTTGGGGATTGAGAGCCCTGGCTTGACGAGTTGTTTGGCGATTGGTGAGATGGTTAAAAATATCTTGTACCGTTAGCTGTCTCTTACGTTTTTGCCTTGTAAATACATGAGTCGGATGGTATATAGAGAAAATGCATAGAGGGAACGAACACTGTACATAGACCTTTGACCAAACAATCCCATCATTATTCTACTGGATTTCAAAAATAGCATGGCCATACACTTGCTAATTTAGAGCATCGAGGATTAATGACCAATGACATCGAAAACATGAGGCGAGAGGTGAGATTTTAGTTCGATTTCGTATAATTCCTTCCCCATTACTCCATACACAAAACCTCAGTCCACCAACATCCATCCATCCATTCCAATGGCATCCCTCCTAACAACACTAGGCCTCCGCGCCTCCCTAAACCCGACTCCAAACCACGGCCCCATGTTCCTATCATTCAACTTCCTCCTCGCCTACGGCCTCCTCTCCTCACGCAGCCTCAAACAATGGTACGGCATCGACCACCAAGTCTCGCCACGCGAAGACCTAACTAAATACGGCGAGACCGCTGTACGCGAAGGAAAGATCACGCGCAAACAGCTGGACATGCTGAAGCGCAATGAGTCGGCGCATGCTAACGCGGTGGAGAATTTCACATTGCTGGTTGCTGGCGTGCTGTTTGCATCGTTGGCTGGTGTACCCGCGCAGAAGATTAATGCTGCGGCGTTGTCGTATACTGTTGCGCGGATTTTTTATGCGGGTGTTTATATTTTTGTGGATCATCCTACGTGGAGTTGGACCAGGGCGTGGATGTGGTGGTGGGGGAATTTGAGTTGTTTTTATATGTTGTGGAAGGCTGGGGAGTTGTTGGGTTGAAGGATTTATTATCAGGGGTACTGTGTTCTTAGCATAGGATAGTGCTAGAATAAAACGTGCAAGGCAAATGTCAATGAGACTCCCTCGTCCAGACTGAATCAAGAAGCAAGACACAAAACCTCGTGTGCAATCCACAAAAGGAGAAATAATAGTACCAGCAACGCCATAGCAGGATGAAACAAAAGCAAAAACAAAAACAACCAACTCCGAAATCAACGTCCCGCGTCTATAGAAAATCCCAAACACCACAACGCAAGTTCTGAGTAGTAAACAAATCATTTCAAGCCAAACCCTTCGCTATTTACAACTGCATCCCAGAGCAGCTGCTGGAACCTCTCACGTGTGGGATAACAGTAAAGACCCAGCGTATTGAAACATGTACGCGCAATCGGGTAACGGCGACAGTCATCTCCAAGGCAAGCAAGACGGATAACAAGACTTGTAGCCCCCATGGCTGGGATGCGATCACTACCAGTAATGAATGACAGGATCTTGCGCTGCGCTTGAGGTTGCGACTTCTCGAAGAAGTCCCAGAACCATCGCACCACGGGAACAGACTCTGGATGTGGGTGTGACCAGTTGTCATAGGTGGCCACGGCCCGGAGAGAGCTGACATCGAGTGGTTCATCTGAGCCGCGGACTAGCATTTCAATCTCTTCTGGTCGGAACAGTGATAGCGCATTGCCACCGCAAACCGTGAAGAAACCACGCTTGAAAGGTTCGAATTGTCGAGCCACGGCTGTATCTAGCAGATATTTGACATACATATCCACAAACTCACGCTTGTTAGAGTTGGTCACCGGCCGATTCTCGCCATTTGGACAGAGCGGCACACTGATGACCTCGCCATAGCGATCAACCTGAGCAACGAAATCGTAGCAGAATGTCTCGGCAACATTGCCTTCGAACTCTAGTAGACCCCGAAGTCCTTTGGCGAGAGCTGGCCGGTACTCGGCAAGATCTTCTAGAGTGCATTTGAAGGGCGAACGCAAGGAGGTAGCCGCTTGTGGCCCGCTGGCGTGCGGTGCCGACGACAGCAATTTCTTGAACGCAAACGGCGGGAGATCAACATCAAGGATTGTGGAGTTGTAGATGGCGAGACCTAGAAGAACCCCAACCAAGAAAAACTGTTCGGATGATTCAAAGCAATAAGGGTTGAAGTAGCAGTACTGCGAATCATCATCGTAGATGAAGAGGCCTATTTTGGGTTAGCCGGTCACTTGACACCTAAGATCAGAAAATGCTTACCATGAAGCGGGTCAAAGACCTCTCGGACAAGCAGAAGGAACCATTCCTTCCGCAAGCCACCAGCGTCAATGCCTTCTTCGCCCGAAAATTCGATCCGGAGACCCTTTTTAATTTCTTCTTGCCCAGTACCAACAACCTCACTCACTCCCTTGAGGCTGTCTTCGATCAAACACTCGCGCCGTACCTTCAACACGAGGTACTGACTAACCGCACTGTGGTTGAGGACGCTGTTGAAAAACGCATCGCGTGCTTTCACTTCCATTTGACGACGCGCATCATGCTCCATGATATGGATTTTGGCCCAGATGCTAAGGAGGAACGGATACTGACAGAACGAAAACTTCGTGACTTTACCTTCCCAAGTCTCGAAGTCCGTCACTAAATCCGAATAGTCCAACAGTGTGTTGTAAAATGTACTGATCGGAATCATATGTCCTTGACGAGGGCCTGGGTTCTTGGGCATTTCAAGACTGCGCGGGGTTCCATCAGATTTCCTCGTTGCAGTGGAGATGTTAGCCGTAAAGAACAGCGACATTACTCTTGCCGCCGCTCTGATCTGCCAGTCCTCGGCGTATATTATGGGGTCTTCGTTTTTTTTTCCAGACTTCTTGTTTGTGTTGCCTCGATTGATCGCAGCGTGCAGTTCCGCAGCAGTATTTCCCGAAGCACTGGCAAAGCTCGGTATTAGATCATCTCCATCTTGAGGGATTTGATGACGTTTTCGCCCATGCTGACGACTCAAACGGTAAGTGAGAAATCCTCCGATAAGTTCTACCAATCGCTCGAAATGCCTGGCAGAGAAACGGGAAGCCCAAGACACGAAGTAGTGATGGCAATCATTGGGCAAGTTGGACATGAGTCCCAGGATTCGTTTGATAATTCCATAGTGGTGGCTGAGGCCCTCTGGACGAGCAGGGGCTTTGGGCAAGACTTTGTGTGAGGGTTTTCCGTCTCGGTTTGCCGACTTAGGAGGGTCTTTTGGATGCGAGGGGCGTCTGCCGTCTCGATGAGACGGTGTGGTCGGCATGGACGGTGTGGTCGGCATGGTTGGTGTATTCTGGCTATACGACCCAGGTGAAGACAAGATAGGATTCGCTAATAATATAAACAAGAACCTGGTGTCTTCTGGCTTCTCCAGAACACGACGCGGGCGCTTGAGGAGGGACTCGGTAGCTTTCAACAGTGCCCGTTGTAAA